AGTCCTTTAATTTGAACAATATTGATAATAACATGATGGAGCTACAACAAATAATTAAAGTTGATTAGACAAAACTAAAATCTGAAATGATGAGCTCTATTAAATTAACATCCTATAGATTCTTCACTTAGATTATAAGAAAACTCCAAGCATAAAACATAACTGAAGATAAGATATGACAACTTGTTCCATTACAATCCAAAATATAAAGTAAATAGATTAAAAACTTCAGACTTATAACTAACGAAAACTAAAGAAAGAGTAGTAGGTTCTCATTGGAGAATATTGAGATGATGAAGTTCATATTTCTTTCTTGATGTACTTCTTCTCCTTAGTAGTGCTGAACTTGGATGTACACATGTTAGAACCTCCTTGAGAGAATAAATCAGTGTCAGTGTGATTCCAATTCTTTAATTACTTTGAGAAACACTATTAGGTGTGACGAATTCCTCTTTTTCAAGAATGTTTACATTCTTGCCAGTGTTCTTGGAACCAAAAGATTCACTTGGAGTTGAGGAAAAGTTCTCACCCTCTAAATTCTGATTGAAGTTAGCCTACAATAAATATACATGACAATATAAAATAAGTGATCCCATTTTGAAAAAAATACCATAACAATCTAGAAGGTATGAAAAAGTATGAAAAGGACCTGAGCTCTGACTTTTTCATCCATAGGATGAATTTGAACCAAAAAATAAAAGACATTACCAAGTGTTAGTATATACATATATTCATCAATGTAAAAGGTTCAAGAATGTTACTTTTCTAGAAATTATAAATTATCATTATCTAACTAAAGCATAGTGAATATGATAAATTTGAGACCTCTCTATGAGTGTAGGTAAATTGTTGTAGAATTTCATGATCCTTACAATACTGAGATATACTAAGGCCACCAGAATGATGTTGGATGTTAAAGCCATAAATACGAACTCTCAAAATCATCTCTCTACTAACTAAGATGTTAAACTTCTAAGGGAATGTTCTAGGCCTCCCTTTTTAGATAGTCATATATAAAAGAAATGATGAGAATAGTCAATAAAAACTATACATAAAAATAATATATATTATTACTAGGATTGTGATGTAGAACCTTTTTAATTTCCTCAATCATATCTTTAGCAATTATTTCAAAAAATTCAATAGCCAAACGATTAAAGAATACCATAAACACATGACCAAAATTGTTACCAAAAGTATAATGAACTTTGTATCTATAACAAGTCAAAAATACAATAAAAATTAATAATTGATATAAGAGTACTGAAACATGAAGCTTAATCAATTTATGTAGACATAATCAAAATTTATCATTACTTTGGCTCTAAAGGTGGGTCTGTCAAATCACATGTCTTGCAATAATCTTTATTATCATCATTCAACCTAGGTTTAGCATTACATAAGCGACATCTATCATAAAGCTAACCATCCTTAGTTTCAAGTTTCAGAATTCTTCCTTTGATAACAACTTCCCCATCCTACAAGTAAAATATAACAAATATTAACTTAGGATAGCTCTATTTAAAAAGAGGAGCAGAAAAATAAACCTATTTTTGAATGTCATAGAATGAAAAAACAAAAGATACCAATACTTTTGAGATATTATTGATATTGCAAATAGAAAGTTGAGTGGGGATGTTGGGCTGAAATAATGTACATTAGCAGATACCACTTGAGAAAAAGCCTCAAACATTTCTAAGGATTATTGCACCCTATTAACCTAAAATGAAAAGATGGTCAAAACACATCATAAATTTGATTGTTATAAAATTTCCTCTTATGCCCCCTTACATTTGTAAAAGATTTTGAACCTCTAGCACTTGTAAAGTTGAAATATATTCTAGTTGTAGGAGCATAACTTACTAGTTATGGCTTACCTATAATGTAGACATACAAAAAAGGAATAAGTTCAAATGAAGACTAAGCACCCACAGGAAATTTTTAAATAGAAATATCTAAGTATTGGGGAAAGAAGGCTTAAAAGGAAATTACCATTATACATATTCACACTATAAAGAGAAACGATAACAATAATGTGAGGCTTTATTTCTAAAGTATATAGATTAAACGTATCTCGAGCACAATCTCCAAACAGCACAACATTGATAGATCTCTCTCTAAATTTGATAAATACAAAGTGTTATTTACACAAAAACAAACTAAGCAGCGATTAAAAAGTGGTTAACAAAGTTAACAAACTCTTCTTTAGCAATAGTAAAGGATACCCTCTTCTTATATGAAGCCCCACTTTTGTGATTTTGAATATTGCCAAACCCTTAGAAAAATCCAATCACATCTATAATAGAGATAACAACAGTGTAAGATAAGAGACCTATAGACCCATATATCAATTGGAAAAGAAAGATAAACATTACCAATGAGCTCATCTACATTTTTGTTCTCATCTTCGAAAACTTCATGAGCCCTTTGTACGCATTCTTTTATTGGCACAAAATGAAATTTCAATTTTGTAATATTTCCATCATGTGCTTTGCAAAATGTGTTAGCATAAAAATTAATTTTCCATGGATAAGGCGATGCCTTATGTGAACTTGTATTTGATAGGATTTCAAAATTATCAAAAAAGTGTATTTTTCCCTCGTCCACATCTCTATCATATTGCTCAACTAGATTTTTGTTTCTTAGGAATGATTGAATGATATGCCCCTACAAAAAAGATTTAACAACTTAGAAGGAAGATAATTTTGCAAGCACTTTAGTAAAAAAAGTCACTGATCTTTTACCTTCTCATCCACAAGAGTGAAGGAAAGATTCCATATGCTATAAGGAGGGTTCTTTTGTCACATCAACCACTTCCTTAGAACTTGAACAACAATATATAATGTCTCTCGGGCATCACTAATCTGATCAATGAAGGCATACTCATCATACGACATTGCTCTGTAGGACAAGAAAGAAATGAGGATCAAATGGTAATGGGCTGTGAGAGAATATAACATGCACTTCAATGATCATTTGTAAGGCTGGATTGACAGACATTGCTAGGCAAGATGCTTGATAGACCTAGGAACTCTTCACTTTGTTTAATATTTTTGATAAAAAAAATAGAAGTCAATACATGAGTAATACTTGGAAACTCAATAGAAATTGGGGAAGTAACATGTCAACTATTGAGTTTTTGATAAAGATTTTGGAAGGGTGCAATAATAAATTGAATCATCTATGAGGGAAGCCACTTGAATAGAAAGATTGTATTTATTTATTTGTTTGAAAAAGAAAACAAAACAGGATGATTCAGTTCCTTTTGGGAGGAAAAAATTTGGGTGGGATGATTGTATTTTGTATTTATAGTTTGAGCACATGATTTATTTATTTAGAAAGGACAAAGAAACAGGCACAACGATTCAGTTCCCTTTTGAAGGAAAAAAATAATTGGAATGAACACAACATACTAATAGTGTGAACACATAAGGGGTTAACTCAAGTTTAAATTTAAGACTAATTAAAATTGACCAATAATAATTCCTCTTGGGAGGAAAAAAATATAAGTGGGTATGATTGTATTTTGTATTTACAATTTAAGCACGTGATTTATTTCTTTGGAAAGGAAAAAGAAACAAGCATAATCGTTCAGTTCCTTTTTAGAAGGAAAAAAATACTCGGTGTGAATACAATATACTAATAGTGTGAACACATAAGGGGTTAACTCACGTTTAAATTTAAGACTAATTAAAACTGACTAATAATGATAAAGAAAATTAAGAAATAGATGAATGATATTTTAGCTAAGTCGGACCAATCAAATACATGTTACAAGCTATGAATATAAGAGTTGATTTAGGACCATATTTCATATTAGGAAACCCTAGAATATGCATTTTTAGTGTTAAATTAGGGTTTTGGGCTTTAGAGAGAAGTTATGCATATTAAGAGTATTTTGATCATTTTTGCACTTTATTGAGAATTTAAGGCAAATCTAAAATTTTATATGTGTATTGATATTAGGTTTATTTGGGTCAAAATATTTGGTCAGAAACCTAATTTTCATAATTTTCTATTTTGGAATTTTATTGCCATTCTCATAAAAGAAAATCATATTTAAATTTATTTTTAAGTTATTTAGAATTTTGATAGTTTGTTTCTTATACAAATTATATATATGTATATGTCTATAATATTATTTTTAAAACTATTATATTATGTTTGATTGTGATTTAACTAGTTGAATCATAAAAATTATAACTTACTAGCTTTTAAATACAATATCATTCAAATTTCAAAATATTTTTCTATAGGAAATTGGATTAAAGGATTTTAAAAATTCCTAGGTTACCATCCTAGCACAGAGGCATAATTTATGAAAATTTTTGAAGGACTTAACCTCTGTTAGAATAAGAGATTATTTAAAGTTAATGTCTACTCAAATTCGATGATGAAAGTGCTATCTCTTATTAGTAACAATTACCCAAAGAATTACTCTTTATTCGATATTATCAAATTAATAAGAGATCTTATTATGAGAGATTGGGAGGTCACCTTTGACCATGTCAATAGAGAAGATAATAGATGTACTGATCTTTTAGTTCACTAAGCAATTCGCAACAACTTTAATATTCAGATCTTTGATGAATTACTGTAAGATTGTACAAGCCTTTTGACTTTATACATAACTAAATTTAGTCTTTTTATACATTTTTTCATGATTTTCTATTAAAAAATATATTTTTCTGCTCACCTTGGTAAAAAGGGTGGTTTTCTTTTGAAAAAATAAAGGACATTTATGAAATACGTCAATAAATCCTATTTGGTCTCTGGGAATGGGGACTTCTGTAAAATTGTTCTTGTTTTGAGGTGCAGTGATGAAATTCTGCCGAAGCTTATTTAACCCCACCTTTTTTGGGCATCGAACGTTCTAGACATTAGCGCCACGTCACCCCCTCTTCCTCTCACTAATCAAACCCTAGCTTTCGCCTCTCCGGCGCCTTCTTTATAAGCACCCTATCTTTCTCACTCACAACAGCGGTGTCAACCTGGTATGGTCGCTCCCACTAGGTTTTCTCGATAGTTTATGAGAATAATTTCGTGTTATATTTTCTGTGTTCATCTATTGGTTGATTCCTTGTCGACGCTTGAAAATTTATCGTTCTTGATCTTCTTTATCGTTTCGTAGTCCTAAAGTTTTCACTATAATGAACGGGACAGTGACGATTTGATATAAGGTCTCGTTCGTCGTAATTGGCTTCAGTCATTGCCGACCATTCTGATATATCACCACCCATATTCTGAGTCCCTTTTAGGTTTGTTTTAGTTTTCAAAAAGTATATGTATGTTTTTTTAACCGTTTTTCGTTTCAGGATTTGTGTTTTTCCCCCTTTCCCAGTTATTCGACATTGGCCGATGATTAAATCATACAAATAGACAAGCATATGTCTGATCTTAGTCATGAAGACTATTCTAATCTTCTCTATGAGGCCTATCATACGTACAATGTTTTCCGATCTTAATTTTTCTTCGTAAATTACTTCTATTTCATAATGATTTTCGGGTGATTTCCTCGTTTCTTTGCAATTTTTTGTGGGTCGTCGTTGCTTTTATTCTATGATGTGAGGTTCAATGAATGTTTTTCATACGTCAATGCTTTAGTTAATGGATATGCTCTATAGTTCCCCTTCCCCAAATATTTGTTTGTTGTTGAAGTTGACATGAGAGGGTCATATGATGAACAAAAGCATAGTTCAAATGATATTTCAGTGATTATATTATTTTACGTCTTTCGCTCCTATCTGATGACCTCTTCGCATCCTTCATATCCATCTGTTGCTATTATTGTAGATGGATTTTGTATTTATAAATGTCTTTTTCAAAAAAAAAAAATTATTTGTTTACAAATTTACATATACTGAATGAATAGATTTAGAGCTTGTTTGGTTATTGTTTTCATTTTTATTTCCGAAAGTTGTTTTATAAAACAATTTTAAAAACTGCTTTTGAGAACAAATAAAAAAAAACTTGCCTGTTAATTATAATCCAAAAACAAGTATAGAATTAAAAAAAAAACTTGCTTGGCAAAATTATTTTCAACTTTTCCTTTTGTGCTCTCGTGTTTTTTTTTTTCCTTGGCACCTTACATTGACAATTTATAGGATTAAGGTGTGAATATGTTTTGTTTTCTGAACAATTGGAGGTAGAATGGCGAAGGAAGAGAATAGATTGTATCATTGTGTGCTTGTGTTTCTTTCTTGAACAATGGCGAAAGAAAATATTAGTTTGTGTTGTGGTTGTTACACAGTTTGATGGATAATGCGTGTATTGTATCTGTATGCGTCATGACGTGGCCTATGATGAGAACTCCAAAGGCTTGTTTCTCAAAACATTCGCAGTGGCCGCCTGAGAGCTTTCGCTTTGCCGGGCTTGAGAGCTTGTGCTGCCTTAATCCTTCCTTGGATGTCTGAGGCCAAATTATTGCTCTTGCATTTCTGTTTAAAACTTAAGGTTTATTCTCCTTTCTATATATGCCTCTGGCTTTGCATGAAGGTCCAATGCGAACTTCATAGGACTTCAGCTTAGAATTCAGAACCCGTATTGTTTTTGAAGGAGAGACCCTCTTGTGGTGAGTATTGTCCAGCATTGAAAGCTAGTAGGCTTTTATCAATCTTTTGTAGTTCTCACTAGCCTTGGCATATTTCACTACGGCATCCTCCTTTGGGATACCTCAGGGATACTCTCTTAAATTAGCCTTTTCTTAGTAAAAGCCATGCTTCATTTTCACTAAACTAATGTAAATCGATAAGATTATTATGTGAGTGTGTTTGGTACTTTTTTATCAATTATGATGGAAGAGTATAATTGTGTTAAGTGTGATTGTTTCTAGCATATCTATAATGTGAGTGAAAATGTGGCCAACGATGAGAAATCCGAAGGCTTGTTTCTCAACATTCGCAGTGGCCGCCAGAGAGCTTTCGCCTTTGACAGGCTTGAGAGCTGATGCTGCCTTAATCCTTCCTTGGATGTCTGAGGCCAAATGTTTGATGATAAATTTCTGATTAGAACTTTTTCTTTATTCTCCTTTATATGCCTCTGTCTTTTGAAAGGTCCATTTTTGAGTATGGCTTTTATATCTTTCTATTAATTAATATCTAGAGAGTTCTTTAGAGGATTGAATTATACGTTGTCATGTTCGTGTAAGGTCTGTCTTGTTCCTGGAGTAAGAAAGTACGTGGTAATCATAGACGTCTTTTGATCTACTGTTCATTCTACCGCTCGATAATTGAAAGTGGTCCTCAGAATTGCTTACTCATACCCACTATAAAGCTGTCTCCAATGCTAACTTAAGGATGCCTCAGGGATACTCTTGTGGTGAGTATTTTCCCGCAGTGAAAGCTAGTAGGCTTTTATCAATCAATTGTACTTCTCACTAGTCTTACATATTTCACTACAGCATCCTCCTTGGGGACATCTCAGGGATACTCGCCTTAATGCTTCATTTTCTCTAAGCTAATGTATATTGATAAGGTTATTGTGTAAATGTGATTTTCTCTTCTTTTTTTTCCCTTACTTGGGTTAGAGTATAATATGTGAACGTGATTATTTCCAGCATAATTGTGATAAAGAATATACCTATCATGTGAGTGGGAAAACGTGGCCAGTGATGAGACATCCAAAGGCTTGTTTCTCAACATTCGCAGTGGCTGCCTGAAGGCTTTCGCCTTCGCCGGGCTTGAGAGCTGATGCTGCCTTAATCCTTCCTTGGATGTCTGAGGCCAAATCATTGCTCATGCATTTCTGATTATAACTCAAGCTTTATTCTCCTTTCTAAATACTTCTGACTTTTCACGAAGGTCCAAATTTGAATATGGTAATTTTTTATTTGTTTGTTACTTTATAATTAGAAAATTCTTTAGCAGATTCAAGCATATGATGCAAAAGCTAATGTCAGGACACTGAATACCTCGAATAGCCCTTTAGATTTTTACCTCCTGGCAACACTGTCTTGCAGTCTGATTCATCATTTTCACTAATGTGAATTATGTGATTTTTTTAGAACTTATTTTTGAAAAATTGTGATGTGATGGATGGTATAATGTGAACATGATTGTTGCTAGGGCAATGACGATGGCATATGAACATGGCCGATGATGAGAAATCCAGAGGCTTGTTTCTCAGAACATTCGCAATGGTCATCGATATCTTTATAGAGATCTAGCTTTATTCAACTTTTGAAGTTCCTCTGGCATTTATCCAGAATGTGCCGTTAAATCAGCAATTCTTCGGTCGCTCGATAACTGCAAATCATGAAGTTTTGCATTTCTTCTGCCAAGTTTTGGGTATGTTTGGATTTCAATTGAAGAAAAGTTTAATTAAAAAATTGATCAACATGATATATGATGATATTTGAATGGTATATTTTTATAAAATAAATTGAAAATGTTTGGATGACTTTTTAAATTCAATTATGAACATTCAAATTACAATAAAGGGCCAGTTTTGGATATGTTTGGATTTCAATTGAAAAAAAGTTAAATTAAAAAATTTGATCAACATGATATGATGATATTTGAATAAATATATTTTACAAAATAAATTAATTAAAAATGTTTGGATGATTTTTTAAATTCAATAATGGACATTCAAATTACAATAAAGGGCAATTTTTGTATGATGTAAATATTGACAAGTAAAAGGGAGTGCTAAACTTCTAAAAGGATTTTGTTGACATTTCCGTCAGATGGAGTTTCGAAGAAGTTTGGGTATCAAAATATGATTTTCGATAACTTAATTGGCTGTTTTAAGGAATCCCAAAGTAACATCGAAGATAGATTATGTTTTTGTCTGTCTCGTGCCTGTGAACAAAGGAGAAATGTTGGGGTGGTACAAAAAAATGTATTTGTGAGGGCATTTGACTATTCCTTGTATTTCTTAGAAGTCTCATTCTCCAATATTTAATATCTTAGTTATTTTCAATGTAATTGTGGGATGTGTATTTTTATTTTTATATTATTTTTTTTCCCTCTCTTGTTGTCTTGTTTGCGGGGGTGCTTTTTTTTTTTTAAGGCAAGCTCCAACTTTTCAGTTTATGTTAGTATTAAAAAAATTATTTATTACAAAAATTCATTCCATAAATATTTCCTAAATAATGATAATTTTTTAATGATGTAATATTTTGTAGAGTAAAGTAAATTTTTTAATTAGGATTTTCATATATGATATTATGATGAATTAAATATAGATGTTGAAGTTGTTAAGGATATAATGAATAGTATAGAATTTCTTTTGAGGTTAAATTTTAAATTTAATAATTTGAGTTGGATTTTAGGCTTATATGTTTATGTTAAATTATGTTGAATTTGAAAATTAGGATAAATTTTGAATATGGATAAGTATTTTTATAAAGTTATAGAATGGTAATTTGAGGTTTGAAAATAATTTTTAAATTTTTAAATTATTTTTGGATAAATTTTTAAATATTGATTGATGAAAATATGGTTAGAAGTGATTGATGTTTATTGAGGTATGAGAATTTTAAGAAGGAATGTTTGCACGTTAAATGAGACACTACCTAATGTTATGAGTCTTTAGGTTTGAATTTTCTTTTAAATTAGAATTATTTATTAATTTTAATGAAAAATTTATATATATTTTTTATTTAAAAATATAAAATATTTTTGATTAAATTTTATCTATAATAAAATAGTTACTTTACTTTTAAATCAAATTTATTTTTTATATTTACTTTTATTAAATATTTTATAATAAATATAAAGTTATTATTAACAAGGAAACTTTAAAAAAAAAAAGAACAATAATTATTTTGAAAGATTAAAAATGTTTTATATTTTTAAAAATCTAACTCTTTAAAAAATGTTTTATATTTTTTAATGAAGAGAGTATAGTATTATAAAATAATTATGCAGATTGTATTGCCATGAGAGAATGGTGAAAGAGAAGTTGTAAAGGAAGATTTGTTCAAGACACTAGGTAATTATTACTAAATGTGTTGTGGTGAGGGGTGTGATTGGTAATATGTTATTTAAAAAATTATAATTTGTTTGGAAATAAATATATATTTATTTAGAATTATTGTTAAGTGGTTAAAATTTGTTTATGTGTATTATATTGCAATATTATTGTTTGGTTATTTAAATTATGCATGATTTGTTAGGGTATTATAATATATGGTGTTATTGAAAAAAAAATTTGGCTAATTATTATTATGTGGTGAGCATTCATTGGACTTAATGAGTGGCATGTAGTTTGATTTAACTTACTTTTAGTCAGGTGATTTAACATTCGGGCATGATGAAAAGAGGGTATGAAGTGTAGTCATGTATTTAAATATTTGTTTGTTTTGTTTTGAAACATTATTCAATTAAATATTTTTGTATGCTTACTTAATTGTTTTTAGTTATATTTGCATGTATCATTATATATTAATTTTTGGTTATTAGGGCTTTTAAGTTTTATTTTTTGTGGTTAATATTTTTACAGAGATGGGTTCAGTCGATGAAACACTAGAGGTGTACATTGGGGGCCCAACATGAGTAACCACCACTTCTATCATTGAATGAAGAACTTGACTTAGCAGAACTGAGGGTGCTTGTGAAGACCTAAACGATTAAGGTTCAAAAATATAAATAAGAGTTGATAAAGCTCAAGAGGCAGAAGGCTACTAAGAATGGTGATAAGGCCCATATGAGAGTTACATGGGGGAAGGTAATTTCTCACATCTTACTATTCCAAGAGATGATAAGCTTAGGAAGGAGTAGACTAAAGAGGAGTAATAGAGAGCTCCACCATCCATTACTGATGTGTGGGAAACTTTTAAGATGTTTAACCCTCTCACATTTGATGGTGATCTTAAACCATTCGTGGTAGAGAAATGTATGAAGAGAATTAAGACAATCCTCCAAGTAGTCAAGTGTACCAGTAACCAAAAGGTGCAAGTAGCATTAGTGCTCTTAGTGAAGGAAGCAAGAGATTGGTAAGAGACAGCAGGGCCCATAGATGAGTTTACATTTACATGGGAAGAGATCAAGAAGAAATTGTTCGAGCATTACCTTTCATCATAGTTGAGGTTTAAAAAGGAAGTCAAGTTCTATGCTTTTAAAAAAAGGATCTAAATGAGGACATGTTCATCGCCATGTTTTTTGAGGTATCTAGATACTTTACATACCTGTGGCATAAAGATGATTTTGAGTGAAAGGCTAAGCGCTTGTTAAAGAAGGCGAGGTTGGAATTAAGGGAGTAGTTGGCTCATCTGGGCATTTGAGAGTATGACAAAATGTGTATAAAACTATAGATAGTGGCCTACAGTAAGAGGGAGGTTTGTAGACATTCTGTTTGAAAATAGAATGACAATTATGTACTTGATTATCCTACCATTGAAAGGTATGGATATAATTGTGAGAATGAATTAAATGTCTGTGAATGGTGCTATCCTGGATTGTAGAGAGAAAATCATGTCTTTATTGCTCTGTGTGTGACTCTAGTTGAGACCCAAGGTCATGTTTCTTATCAACGGCATAAGGGTTGTTAGACGTACATGGTCTTTTTTTTTTTTTTAATCCAAGCCAATATCTACTTTCAAGAATTGATGAGTTACTGGATCTTCTTGTGGGATCAATAGTCTTTTCAAAGATTGACTTAAGGTCAAGTGTCATTAATTGAGAGTAAGAGCAGAGGACATATTTAAGATTGCTTTTTGAACTGGGTATAGGCATTATAAACTCACGGTGATGCCATTTAGGCTTATGAATGTCCCTCCAATATTCATGAATTGCATGAATAGGATCTTTCAACTTGAAGAAGTAGAATTAAGGGAGAATTTATTTGCTTAGTTTACGTAGTTTTTAAGCTTACTGATCTTAAAATTTTGAGGATAAAATTTCTAAAAGGAGAAAAAAGTTGTAACATTTTGATCGATAGATAATAAATAATGAAATTTGAGTTTTTTTTGGGTTTCAAAATTAAGAATTTATAGTGTTTTGAGGTTTAAGATAAACAAATAAATTTGTATTCGAGATTAGGGGTTAATCATGCATTTAATTATGAATTAAAAATTTGAGTTGAGTTATAGAAGAGATGTTTATTAGCTTAGTTAAAATATAATTTTAAAATTTAAAATATAAAAATAGATATGTGTGTGTGTGTGTATATGTATATAAAAAAGGAGTGCAAGGCTTATTATTATTATTATTATTATTATTATTATTTTGTTCCACACAAGTTATGCATCATTTGGATATGGTTAGAGGAATGATTCATCAATTACAAAACTTGAAACGCAAGGGAAGAAAAGTGGCTAAATGTAATTTGTGAAATTGCAGTTACTCAAAGATTTGAATAATTCATTTAAATCTTTAATTATTTTTTTAATATAATTGTGGGACTCATAATTTTATTTTTATATTATTTTCTACTCTCTCCCTCACATTGGCTCTTGTTTCTTATGTGGAGAGGAGTGTTTATTTTCTTTTTTAGATGAGCTCCAACTTTTTAGTTTATATTAGCAATAAAAAAATTATTTATTTCAAAATAAATTATGATTTTTCAAATAATAACCAACACATAACCAATCTTGCACATATACGCCTATCACAATACATTAATAATGGTTACCTTATATTTTTAAACAATGACTTTCCCTTCACAACTCTTTTACCACTTTCTTTGTAAATACAACCTACACAATTATTTCATAATTATATATAAATTTTACATTAAATTAATAAATAACTCTAATTAAAGTGTTAGAAAGTTTTATCTCTAAGATGCTTATTAACATTAATTTAAAGTTAGTGTCTCATTTAATGTTCCAAAATTCCTTCCTAAAATTCTTATACCTTAATATATTATATTTAATTCTTAAATCACTCATAGTATTACAATTTCATTAATCCATATTTTAAAAATTCATTCAAAAATAAATAAAAAGTTTAAAAATTATCTTAAAGTTTCAAATTACTATTCTATATCCTTGTAAATATCCATTCATATTTAAGTAAATATTATTAATTAAAAATTCATCCTAACATTTCAAATT